CAGGGGGGTTGGACTAGATGACCCACAGAGGTCCCTTCCAACCCCTACCGTTCTGTGATTCTGTAATCCAGAAGTGTACATTTCTTCAATTTTCAGTTAATAGAGTGTTCTGGAGGCTTACAGTTTAATAATGATTAGACTTCGTAGTTGACAAAAATGCAAAAATTTTTAAATTTATATATTTCCTTTTAAATCTTGCTGCATGACAATTGAAGGAGTAGTACACTTTAATACTTAAGAATTCTTTAGAAGTTAGCCTTTTTTCTTTAAGGACTTCTGGCTATCTAAGCTTCAGGCTTGCTTCATATTTTAAAAGTTTCACTTAGTCCATGTATGTTTAGGAGCAAAACCATGATAAACTTTAACAGCAATGCATTCTGGTGATCTTTTATCAGGAGTGGTACATTATGGAGAAGCTGAAAATTTTTCCCCCCCCCTTGTCCCAAAGCAGATGAGCCTTTTTGCCTTCAAAATTACCACTTTCATCTTCTGGTTTTTAAACTGTGTTTGTTACTTAAACATGAAGGAAATCCCTGTTAATGTTGGATTATCTGGTTCCTGTTTTTTAAAGCCAACCCCACAGATAACATTCATTTTAGGTCCCTGAAGCCACAAATTTAAAGTTGGTTATGTTTCTATTGCTAATATGGATGAAGGGGAAGGGATAAACAACATAGCAATATGACCACAGAGAGCTCCTCTTCTGTTTCTCAACCCATGTTTCTACCTTAGATTTTGTTTTTCAGCTCCTTAGACTTTTTCAGTTTCTGAAGTGTTTCTTAATCTTCACATGACCATTGAGAACACATTGGAAGTTGTCTCGCTTTTATCTCAAATATTTTTTAATTCTATTTTTGAATTGCTATCTTAACTTACATATTTTTGGCACAGTCGTTGAATACTAGAAAAATTATGTCACTTCCATGTTATCTTAATCCTCTGTATTTGTATTTACATCTAAATTATAAAATCATTGACTCATAGAATGGTTTGGGTTGGAAGGGACCTTAAAGATGTAATTGCAGTCACCCTGCCACTAGCCCAGGTTGCTCAAAGCCCCATCCAGCCTCTCTTTGAATACTTCAGGGAGGAGGCATCAACAGCTTCTCTGGGCAACCTGTGCCAGTGCCTCACCACCCTCAGAGTAAAGAATTTCTTCCTAATATCTAATCTAAATCTAACCTCTTTTGGTTTAAAACCATTGCCCCTTGTATTATCACTACACTCCCTTATAAAGAGTCCCTCCCCTTCTTTGCTATAGGCCCCCTTTAAGTACTGAAAGGCCATAGTAACATCTCCCCGCAGCCTTCTATTCTCCAGGCTGAACAGCCCCAACTCCCTCAGCCTTTCCTCACAGCAGAGGTGCTCCAGCCCTCGGATCATTTTTGTGGCCTCCTGTGTACCCGTTCCAACAGGTCCATGTCTGTCCTCCGCTGATAGCTCTGGAGCTGGATGCACGACTCCGGGTGGGCTCTCACCAGAGCAGAGCAGAGCAGAGGGGCAGAATCCCCTCCCTCGACCCGCTGCCCACGCTGCTTGTGATGCAGCCCAGGATATGGTTGACCTTTTGGGCTGCGAGTGCACATTAATGGTTCATATCTAGCTTTTCATCCACTGGTACCCCCAAGTCCTTCTCCTCAGGGCTGCTCTCAATCTACTCATCGCTTAGCCTGCATCTATGTTTGGGATTTCCCCAACCCCGGTACAGGACCTTGCACTTGGCCTTGTTGAACTTCATGAGGTTCACACATGCCCACCTCTCAACCCTGTCAAGGTCCCTCTGAATGGCATCCCTTCCCTCCAGCGTGTCGACCTCACCACACAGCTTAGTGTCATGAATTGTGCATCACTGTCACTTAAAATGTTGAGATAAAGAATTTATCAAGTAAGTTTAAAGGCATCTAAGACAACGTAGGCAATACTCTAAAAAGGGGAAGATGTCTTTCAAAGTATATTGACTTTATTTCTGTGGACACTTGGCTGCTTGTGTTAAATTTCCTGGACCCATATTCTAATATACAAACTGTGTAACTGTCTTTGAATTTTTACATGTTGTAATTTGCTCTATTTCATTTTGCTGTCCCGGATACCTCAGTGCTTGAAAACATAATCATACGTATTCATCTAAAAGACACAAATCCACAGTGTCTTTGTGAAGTCCTCTCATTTTCTTCACAAATCATAACTTCTCAGCATTCAGCATTGAAGTTTTAATGCAGTTCATAAGTTCTTAGCATTCTGTTAAATCAGTAGCATGTTAGATCTGTTGGGATGTCTACAGATGATATGATTTTGTCTTAATGTTTACAGGTGTCGAACAGAGTATGAAAACAGAGATGAAGCTACCAGAGGAGATGAGACTACGCGAAAACAATTTCATGCCTTTGTGCTGTTCTTAGCTGAACTTTACCTTAACCTAGAGGTAAGATGAAAGTTGCATCTCAGATGGTTCTTCATTAATTCTTCTGTTGTGTTTAGGTAAACACTGAAATAGAATATAATTTGAGAAGGGAGACGGAAATACACTAAAAGAAGTTAAGAACAGTTTCATCATAACCTGTATCCAAGAAATAGATAAACAAAAAGAACAAGATCATTAGAAGAGAAGATTTAGAAAAAAAAAATGAAGTGTAAGAATTCATAAAAAGAACCATCTATAAACCACCAGTTGAGTTAAGCTTTTGGTATTGTCTTTTGACTGACAAAACCCCCAGATGACTACACTTAACCAGCACAGGAAATGTTACAACCTAGCAGAAGCAGATCAGGATCAATAGCCCATGTAATTCAGTATTTAGTCACTAATATAAGCTATTATCAAACCCTTGAGGAAGATGTGGAAATCCTCAAAATGAGCAATTAAAAATGCAGGCCTTTGAAGATATTTGTTACGAAGGTTGAGTTCTTGGCTTATGCATGAAGCATGGAATCTTGTATTTCGATTGTTTTCTTGTATCTGTGATGTGTACATGAAAGTGTATGTACACGTAAAATTTCTTTGACTGTTGTACCTGTGAGTTCAGTAAGTTCACTACCTGCTGTAGTGTACTTAAAAATATTTTTTTTTACTGGATTATTTCAGTAGTTTGATTAAACCAGGCACTACAAAAATGTTCTGGTGGCACAAGGAAAGAAACTAATTCTCTGACTCTGCTGTTCATAGTGGGCCTTGAAATCTGCTTTTCACTTGCTAGCAGTAAAAAGAGGATTTGCAAAGGGTCTGGGGAGCGGGAGTTGTCCAGTTCTGTGGAGTATTCCGTTTATTTTTAAAACACTTTCTGTATTTTTTTAAATACTTCTAGAAGACAGTCTTTATCTAAGCCGCGACAGCTGTAGAGAATAAATAATTTAGTATCAGAAAGAGCAGGGGATTCTGGGAATTTGGGATCTTGTGAACCATTTGTCAGGCATTTGGTAGCTTTTCTTACCAATTTATTACCAAAGAAACAAAATGCTAGACATGCATTGTTATGTATGTGTCAGAATTGTAAGGATATTACTCACTGTGTTCTAAAATAGTTAACAGTATTTAGGATGTTGTTCCAACAAAAGAGCTCAACTATGTTGACCACAAATCAAATCATACAGCACTCGACAGAGAAAATGTGACTGAGCTGATTTCTAAAACGTAAGTCTTTTAAACGCTTTTTTATGTATATTTTGTAGATTAAAGGAACAAAGGGACATGTAACACGAGCAGAAATTCTTCAGGAAGGGCTTCGGGAATTACTAAATGCACTCTTCTCTAATCCTGTGGACAGTAATTTGATATGTGCAGTGAAACTGCTGAAGGTGAGACAGTACTTTTAAAAGAAGGAAAAATAATGAAGTTTTTTATCCTTCCTGCCTTTGGAAGCAGTGGGGCAAACTGCAAAAGGGGAACTGTTTATAGGGTTTTATGCATTTCATTATTAGCAGAGCAAGCTGTATTTTTTGGTTTTCCTTAGTACCATTATGAAATTGAGCCAACAAAAAAGTAACGTAGTGCTCTAAAAGTAAAATGCAAGGCCATTTCTTTACACACAAAAGCAATAGAGCTCAAGCCAAGGTGCAAAGGAGTAAGCAGTCCCTTCAGGTCTCCTGCTGCTGCTTCTGGTGTGGGAGAAAAGTGTAACCAACTTGAATGAATGAATTGTGGGGTTTGTGGTAAGTTCCCTGTTCCAAAGGACAGTCAGCAGTTAGGGTCTACCAATATCTGCAGCAAAAGGTTCTTGATGTCTGTTATTTCATACTGTGTTCTCTGCATCATTACTACTGTAGAAATGTATGTATTTCTCTTTCATGATGAAAACAAACCTTTTTGATCTTAAGTTTTACTTTTTCTTAAAAAAATTGTTAGCCTCTACGCAGGAAGAAGCTTATCCTCACTAATTATGGTTACACTCATAGTTGGGAAAACAGTTTATTTTAGGAATGAAGGTTAAAAGCTAAACAGTATTTTTCTGGAGTTTTGTTTCTGTTTTTTTGTGGTTGGTTGGTCGTTTGTTTTTCCTCATTTTTCCCTCTTCCTCCCCATCAGCTAGTTTTCAGACTCTTCTATCTTGAATTCCAATTCAGGCAGCTTCTTTTGATGTGGTAAATAGGGAAGAGAAGTTTTACATCTTTCAATTTAAACACTTTATTTGAAGTTTGGATGTTAAAGCACGTGTGAGGTTGTGTTCAATGAGCACATTCACTCTGTGTTCAATCCTTATGTTGGCAGTGCTTCCTTGAGGTAGGGCCCATTGAAGGACCTTTCAAAAAGGCAGTACACAAATCAGGAAGTTTTCCAGTGCTGATTTTTTTTTAATAATCATCCTCCAAAGAAGATGGAGGTCTCTCTATTTCTGTGGATATTCTTGGAATATTTGAGTGGTGGATACACTAGCAGGCTGTGCTGCCATTCAGCGAGACCTGGACAGGCTGGAGAGTTCGGCAGAGAGGAACCTGATGAGGTTCAACAAGGGCAAGTGCAGGGTCCTGCACCTGGGGAGGAACAACCCCGTGCACCAGTACAGGCTTGGGGCGGACCTGCTGGAGAGCAGCTCTGCGGAGAGGGACCTGGGTGTGCTGGTGGACGACAGGTTAAGCATGAGCCAGCAGTGTGCCCTGGCTGCCAAGAAGGCCAATGGGATCCTGGGGTGCATCAAGAAGAGTGTGGCCAGCAGGTCGAGGGAGGTTCTCCTTCCCCTCTACTCTGCCCTAGTGAGAGAAGTCAGAAAATCAATTACTTTTTTTCAAGATTGCTGCCTGACAGATGCTTACAAATATCTGAAGGGTGGGTGTCAGGAGGATGGGGCCAGACTCTTTTCAGTGGTGCCCAGCAACAGGACAAGGGGCAATGGGCACAAACTGAAGCACAGGAAGTTCCGTCTGAACATGAGGAAGAACTTCTTCACTCAGAGGGTGACGGAGCCCTGGAACAGGCTGCCCAGGGAGGCTATGGATTTTCCCTCTCTGGAGATATTCAGGACCCACCTGGACAAGGTCCTGTGCAGCCTGCTGTAGGTGACCCTGCTTTGGCAGGAGGGTTGGACTAGATGACCCACAGAGGTCCCTTCCAACCCCTAACATTCTGTGATTGTAAACTAAAAGACAGTGACCTAAATTTAGATGTTGCTAAATCTAAAACGTGTTACATAACAGTGGGGTTTTTTTTGTAATGCAAGTGTCTTCTTATGTCTTACAGTATCTACAAATGTTGGAGTATATCTGTAGCTAGATTGGGCTACCTCATGAAACCTTGGTTTCACTACTGAAGCAATAAATGTCTCTTGTTGTCTTTTCCATTTAATATAGTGATAGATATAGGTTCTTCACCTGTTTGCCTTGCAATATGTTTATTTTTAGTTAAACGTTCTTGGTGCTGTTGTTGCCCTCAAATCAGGGTTCTTCACCTGGTGTGCAGGATGCCAGTCAACACACTGAATCGAGATACTTGTTTTTGTTGCTAGTCTGCAGAGTAGGGTGCCAGGCATTTAACAACTGCTAGCACACCTCTCAGAAACATACAGGGTATTTTATAGAAAACAGTAACAAAGAAGAAATTACACTAAAGCAGTTGATTGGTCACTGGTACAAAAACTTCTTCACTAATGTCCCAGTGTTGGTCCAGCTCATTATAGTAGAGTGGTCTTATATTTACATACAAATCTCCTCCTAGGGGTGTGATTTTTAGTATTGTAATTAACCTATGGTAAATATATGACACACTCTCATCTTGACTTTGTATCAAATTCACTTACATGTATCTAAGTCAGCAGCAGAGAAGAAATTTGCAGCCTTTCTAATCTTGGGGCTTCCCATGCGGTTCTTCAAAGTTTCAACTTGATCAAGGTCGGGTACCTCTCCACCAGTTACTTGCACAAGCCTACGTAGTTGCTTAATTTGGAATCTCAAATAACTTTTAACCCAATTCCTGTGACATGACTATTCTCTAATTATATGGCATCAGGGTAGGACCCCTGGTTTTTATAAAATCATAGAATGGTTTGGGGTGGAAGCGACCTTAAAGATCATCTGGTTCTAACCCCCTTGCCAGGGGCAGGGGCACCTTCCACCAGACCAGGTTGCTCAGCGATCCATGGGGCAGGGACACCTTCCACCAGACCAGGTTGCTCAGAGCTCCATCCAACCTGGCCTTGAACACTTCCAGGGAGGGGGCAGCCACAGCTTCTCTGGGCAGCCTGGGCCAGTGCCTCACCACCCTCAGAGTAAAGAATTTCTTTCATATATCTAATCTATATCTGTTCTATATTTATTTTATCTTTGCATTTTATTCCTTCATATCATCAGGTGCTATTCCAAGCATTTTGGATGATATAATACTTATGCTGAGTACATCAGGAATTGCTACTAACTTTGATCATAGTGGCAAACTATTTTTTTCTGATTTAACTTCTACTGTGCAATTATTGGGCAATGAAGTACTTAGAATAAAAGGCTTTCATCCACAGCAGTTCTGGACTGTCTGCTGCTGAAGCTCTCTCAGCAGCAGCTTCAGCCTCACAGATTTTAATGTATTAAAATTCAGGCTGGCTAGGTCAGATAATTCTTGGCCCCTTATATATACCCTGACGAAATTCTCTGGCATGTCTGATGCTAGCTAAATTGACTGAAGTGTTTCTAAAGTTTATTAAACTGTTTGTTATTGTCAGGTAAGCTGGTGGCATCATCTGCAAAAATAAGATCTCCTTTTCTATATAGTATGTGCTTAAATCAAGTAAGATTGGACAAAGATCACTGAAGAATTGTTTCAAAATCATATTTCAAAACTGAAAGGAGAGAAGGGGCTGTGAACTTCTAGGTAACATAAACACTGGGTGTACAGCTATGGTAGTGTCTATAGCGTAAAATAAACTACAAGGTCTATTAATCTTTGGCAAAAAGATGTAGGCAGTTGGGAGCTTCAGCTCTCAGGTAGTCACATAATACATCTAAATGTTACGATTTGTTACGGAATCTCTTCTGTTGACAGTTTATTAAAGTTTTGCAATTTTCTTTACAAAAAAAACCAAAAACAAAAACAACTAATCCCTTGTCTTTAGTTGACAGGCTCAGTTTTAGAAGATGCTTGGAAAGAAAAAGGAAAGAATGATATGGAGGAAATGATTCTGAGAATTGAAAATGTTGTGTTGGATGCAAGCTGTAGCAGGTGAGAAGATGAATTTAAGTGTGCTGTTTTAGTTTTATATCAAACAGAACACCTTAAAAAAAATCTTCAAGATTAATGAACATGTCCAACACATTATCTTAAAAACTTTTCTCCGTGAAAAGTAAGGTGGCTCACTTCCCAAGTTTAAAAAAAAGAACAGTATTTTTCAACTGAGGGAGCTTGGGGGTTTTTAGGGTTATTTTTTGTTTTTGTATTTCATCGTGTAATAGAGATGCATATTCCACTCTAATGAGTTGTGTTTTTTTAAAAAAAAAACTTTTAGGTCTTGAAATTTTCTGTAAGTGCTTTAGGCTCTAAGAAGAAGTATATAAACAAAGAGACAATAGTGGCAATATCTCCTCATTTATACTTTTATATCTGAATTTAACAGTATTAAATATATACAAACAGTACTACATATATACAAATCACCATATATATAAAGGCAAAATGGAATATGCTTTGTAGGTTTGGTTTGGTTTTTTTTTTTCTGGAGAGCATACCTTTTTGGCAGGGTCGTAACTGCAGTCTGGAAAACAATGAGTGGTTGGCTAAAGTATTCTGCGTCTCAGTTTGCAGTCAACTGCATGCATGAGGTTATCTGATTCTGCTGTAGTTCATCCTCAGCTTCTTGCAAACTTACTAAAAACATATAGAGGGTTCAGACATTGTGGCATGATCCCGTGCCGTATGGAGGGAGACCAATAGGTAGCTCTTAGCATCTGTGGGTTGTAATTAAGCTGACCCCAGGGAGGACGAGGAGAATTTTGCTTCAGGAACCAGAGAAAATTGATAGCGCAAGCGCCGAGACTTCAAAGACACAGAAGCACAAACTTATTTAAATAGGGAAAACAACTGCAGATTTTATTTATTTACCCCTTAATGAGACGCTTCTCCATGGACTCAGTTAAAAGAAGAAAGCAATTTCATTTACTTTAGGGATGAGATGGCTGGTGGTATCTAATGTGTTGGGAGACATTACTTCTCACTGTGACTGCAAAATTTCAGTGTAAGAGGGGTCAAGTTAGGAGCATAAATTAGATGATTAAAATACAACTTGAAGACCATCCCTCTGTTTTTCCCAGTACTTTCCTTTTATCAGAAAAGGATTTATTCCTCAACTTGTGCTGCAGGTTTGGTATCTTGATAAAAACTACAGCAATATCTGTCTCATAGGGGCTCATATGTAGGATCCACACTTGCAGGGGAAAAAAAATAACTCAAAATTATCTGGAGACTCCACCAAATGTTGTTGTTTTTAGAGCTTTTGAGGGGAGATTGAACTATCTGGTATTTGCAAGATAAGCCAAATTTCTCGCTTAGCACAAAACATTCTAACTTTTGTTGTGCTCCTTTTTATTTCAGAGATGTGAAACATATGCTTCTGAAACTAGTAGAACTGCGATCAAGTAACTGGGGTAGAGTTCATGGAACTTCTTCACATACAGAAGCTACCCCTGAAAATGACCCAAATTATTTTATGGTAAGAATGTACAGACACTTCAGTTCCTTAATGTGAATTGAATTTGATTCATAAACAATCACATTGCTGAAAAATTACAATCAGCTGTCTTTCTGAATGCATATAACTTTGTGTATAACTTTATTCTTAGAATGAGCCAACATTTTACACTTCTGATGGTGTTCCTTTTACTGCGGCAGATCCAGGTACGTCACAAGCTTGGTATACCTGTCTTCTCAGTCTTCTTTAAAAAGTTGTAATTAAGTTTATGTGCTGTTGAAGTACATAAAAAGTTGTTCTTCAAACATGTGAAATTCCTACAACATAAAAGACTTATATCTGAATTCATGGCTTTGTGTAACTCGTGCCTTATTCTGCTTTAAAAGAAGGTAAATGTTTGAAATGGAGAATATATATTTGAGTTCATAGGGTTCAGAAGAATTTGTGCCATAGTTCTTGGCACTTGGTCTCTTCAGGAAGCCAGAAATCTTTTTGTTGTCTTTTGTTTGTCCGTTGTTAGTAGCAAAAAGGTTTGTTTCTTCCTTGGTTTCTTTTGTTTTCTGTAATCTGAGTACAACGTGGCATGACATCATTTGAGGTAAAGACATCTGTGACTACCTTTATAGTTCTCTGGGAAGATAGGTATCATTCTCAGAGGTCAATTGATGTCCTGAGAAAACACTGTAGCACAAGCTTTTTCTGTAATATGTTCCGTGCCATTTATAGTTTAATTACACAGGCTATTTTCAACCTGTATAGATGTATGTTAATGTAGAGGACTAGTCTTACATATTACTCGGTCTCATTTTTACTTTGCTAGATTACCAAGAAAAATACCAAGAACTGCTTGAAAGAGAGGACTGGTTTCCAGATTATGAAGACAATGGAACAGATCTAGCAGGACCTGGAGATCTGTATGTTTTCTTTTTGAGTGATTTTTTTTTTTTTTTTTTTCTATACTAGCTATTTTTGGTGCAGACTTAGGAATTTAATCTTGACAAAAAAAATGAAACTAAGCAATATTGTTTAGTTCAACAATGGAAAATAGATATTTGTTTGGATATAAGTTGATGTGTAATGACACAAGTTTGAAACAAATCTTACATTTATTCAACTGAGTAGGGTAATTAAATATCAGATACCTATGCACATGTGCAAGCATATTTTCTTCAGCATTTAAAAAAAATAAATTTGCAAGCAAAATGAAGCACCAGACCTTCAAGTGTTAGTAGTGAGGCAACCTGAATTCATTTGACTGATGCACATATGCATCCCAGCTAGAGATAGTTACAAAATTTTCAGATTCTTTCAAAGGGAGAAGGTTGTTAATTGTCTCTCCTTGCAACATAATGGCAAAGGGGGAAGCAATAGATGGGAATGTAGTCTGACATTCTGACACTAGTTTATCAGAATTTAATAGGAAACCAGTAAAAGAAATACAGTCTAAAATAAATTGCTATGAGTTTTCTACTCACCTGGTTGAAGGAGGACTTTCATGATTTTATACCTAAGAACGTTTTCAGTGTTGTGGTTATGTGTGATAAGAGCGCTGGCCTGGATCCATGTTTTTGTTAGTAAATTAGTAAAAAGTTTTAGATCACACCTAGCTGAGGGGAGTGGCAAGAACTTTGGAAGAACAATGCAAAATGGAGACAAACAGCAGTTAAAAAAACCAGCAAATACAGAGAGTGACATGTGGAAGACTGAGAGTCAACCTTCGTGCAAGGTGACTGGGGGACTTTGTGGAAGGCTTAAGGAAAGCTTAGACAAATGTATGCTGATCTCAGCTATTTCTCATGACTGACATCAGGGAGAAGGGTTGTCTCGAGTCCCTTCTCAAATCTACACTGCTGCATGAAAGAAGGAACAAATTAATAAATACGTAGACTGCTTCTTCAATGCACAATGCTGAATCAAAAATACCCTCCTTACATGTTTCTGTGGCACTTACTGTGGTTTTGTGTGAATCATACCATTTATGGCCTCTGTGCAGGCGAGACATGCCGATTCCGTTGTTTGGAACTAAGGCACGGAAGATAATAAACTGAGCACCTGAAATTAATGCACACTTTTTGAGAGACACTAGCTGCTGGGGGGTTTTTAAGGCTGTTTAGAATTGCATACAGCCGTTGTCCTAGTTTATGGTGATGAACAGTCCAGCTGGACCTAGAGAAAACAAGGAACATTCAAGTTACTACCCAATAACTGTGAGGAGAAAGAAAGCTGAAGTGATGCCCATCACCTCCCAGCTTTATTTTGAAACTCTATGGTAGTCTCCACTCTGTGCAGTACTTACTATCATTAATGGGATCCAGTGTTTTCTGTGGCCTAAATAAGACAGATGTTTTCCAAAAGACTGGTTACCATATAACAGAAGGTAATGTAATGCAGATGAAATAGGGAAGTAAATGAAGGTTGTCTTCTTTCATATAGCAACAAATAGGAATGCAGGTTCTATATATTCTTTGACTAGGGTGCAACCAAGACAGTTAATGCAGTATTTGAACTAGGATGTTGACCAACCAAAATTATGCTAGTTTGATGCTAATTACATTTTTTGCAAATAGATCAGTGGAGATGCATTATTAAATTTTGGGGAGCTTGGATTGTGTTATTGCATTTTATATCATCTCAGCAACTACATCTGTCTTCTAAACTGTGGACAGCATAAGATGATCTAAAATGGTGACAAACAATGTAGCTATTTGTACAGATCTGTGCTGCTTTCAGGTTTCTGTTTGTTTTCCTGGTATCCATAGTTTTCTCCCCTCTTCATCCCCTTAAAGAAAATGTCATATTTAACTGTTATTTATGAAGTTCTGTTTTGTTCTTGACATCTGCATAAATGTTTCCGAAAATCTGTACGTAAACTTAACATCTTTGGTGTGTTTTTTTTTTTTAATTAGGTATTTTGATGACATTGATGATGAGATGGATCCAGAAATTGAAGAAGCATATGAAAAATTCTGTCTAGAATCAGAATATAAGAGAAGACAGTGAGATGTTACACGTTAATGTTAGTTTATCAAGCCAGTTTCGGTATGGTTAGAATACAGGGGGGCACAAAACATTTGTACCAAAATAAGGAACTTCAGTTTCTCCAAGCACGAAAGTTACACAGTTTTCATTTTGTTAAACAGAATCTGCCAAAAATTGTAAACTTATGCCCTGTAACTTAAAAAGTTGTGTATATATCATAGTTTATTTTCTGTACAGGTATATGTACAATGTTTTGGCTGCAATAAAAGTGATTTAAAAATTACCATAAGTGAAATTAAAAGTTAATTGGGAACTGTTGCGTAACATTTCCCTTGAGGGAGAAAGGGGAGGAATAACTTGATCAAAACTTAATTGATTGCTTGTTTTGGTATATATTGGGATTTACTCATCCTTCTTACCATATACAACATGCCTAGTATTTAACTCACACACACACACACCACACCCCCCCCAGGAGAGTGTGATCCAAGTACGGATTATTTTTTTCTGTAGATCACAATCCTGAAGTGGTTTGTGAAGGTTTTGTTTTGTGTGGGATATTTTTCTGTTTTGTTTATTTCCTTTTTCTGCCTCTTCCAAAACCTGTATGGGTGAGGTCAGGACTTTTTTTCCTGGAATAAACATGTTATATGTTGATAATGTGAAAAAGCAAGCAGTATTTTGCAAGTCAGGTGTTTTCAAGATCTTTGGTTCAGATAAGCTTATTTTTAACTTTTACAAGCAAAAACCTTCCTTTAATTTATTGTGTTCTTCAAGACTATGTGAATATAGTCACGCTTTGCCCCATGCTTCTCAAGACTATGTGCAGTGCTCTATTTTTTTTTTATTTTTAATGTATCTAACATGTCTAACCTTCCAGCAACCCTAGTAAATAACTTTCTCCTTTCTTCTAGTTTTATGCATTTTTATTAAGTTTTGTAGTTGGGAGTAAATTCATGTATTTCATAAATGTTAACATTCTGAAGCCAACTGCTCTTTTTTGACCCCATATAATCACGTTAGTTTTTCTAAGATTCTTCATTGTTGTTGTTGCCAAACTCAGTTGTACTGTTTCCTGTTATCTGTTACTGGTTAGACTGAGTAGAACCCTTTACCAAAACCAAAGGGAAATATTTCTCAGAAGTTAGCTACTGTAAAGACACGTTGTAAATACACATGTAAATAATTCTGTTAATATTTCACTGTTATTTGTCTGGTTAAATAACTTGTGCATCTGCTAATAGAGTGAGCACTGACTGTTTTCTGGATGTTTATTTAACACACTTATTTAGGTTGGAGTTTTGGAAAATAAAATTTAACTAGCTTTGTTTCCTTTGGTATAATTTCACTACGTTGCCTTTTTGCTTTAAAAAAAAATATTTTTTTTTGGTCCTTCTATCTCCCCTTCACGTAACACTCCTTTTTTTCTTCAAGCACACAGAGAGTATTATCTTTTAATACTCACTGGAAAAATAAGATTTATCAAAGGCAATATGGTCATAAAAACTGTATTTGCATTTCAAAGTCTCGAGAGTAAAATCCAGAAACTAGAAAAGTGAACATCAAATCAGATTATTTTCACACACACACTCTCTGACATTGAGCATATTTTTCATACAAAACTTCCAATCCAAACACAGGTCCAACTTCCTGCTGACTTTACTGAAAAATCATACAGTTATTTAGTTCAAAGTAGTGGAGATGTTTGTGGTCTCTGTGCATGGAAAGCTTTGTAAGAGCTTTAAGCCGGTACTGCAGTAAGGAAAACTGGGTTTAACTGTGTCTCACTGAGTGAGGAAGGCAGGATAATCTTTGCCTTAAACACTTAATAATCCTGCCTGCTTGTCATCTTAAATCTCACAAGAGTCTAACACAAATTCGTGATGGAGGAATGGGATGTGAGAAAGCAAAAGAAAGCAGCAGGTTTCACATGGCCATAACTGCCATTTGCTGCTTGTCTGCCCACTTTTAACAGCTCGTAGTTCTGTGTGTGGCAGAGATGAGTCTTGAGAGGTTTAAAGAGGATTTCACCTGAATTCTAGCATTTACAAATTTCAAGTGCACTGCGTTAAAAGTGTTCCTCGTCTACAACTTTGTGAGCAATGCTTTGCAGATAAGCAACCTTTAAAAAGAATTATTTTGTTTTGTGGCATAATGGTAAGCCAGGAAAGCATGGCAGAAGCATGGAAAGCAACTTTGGGGGAGAAGTGAAGCAAACTTCTGTAGCACTGGTTCTGGAAAGAAACATTCTTCACATTTGAAACTGAGCACGTGACCAAGCTTCACACATCAGAAAAGGGATGCACATTATTTGCCACTCTTGACAAATTGCTTGTGATTCAACAAAAATGTTTAGTATTTGAAAATCGTACTTTGCTTAAGGTAATTCCCAACCTGGCTGCAAGAGGTGCTGCTTTGCATATGCTTTGCTTTTGAATGACAGTTACTTACTCAGAAATGAAGTCAACTTTTTCCCAGTAGTTTCCTTTCAAATCTGCTAAGAACTTCCTGCTACTGGCCTACTTTCGGGGCTTGTTTGTTTGTTTATGAAGACACATGATCACTGGGTTTTTGAGTGTTGGTTTTACAGAAAGCAGCAAGATTGGCTCAGCTATGTCAGGTATCAGAAATTATGCCTAGCTGGGATTTTTTTTTGTTGTTTTTTTAAATAGAATAATCCATTGTGGCACTGAGTATTAGTGATGCTCAGTCTGGTTGGTAATAGTCATTTCTCTCTGGGACAGGACTTCTTTACGACATTCTGCCTTTCCTTCCCACTGCACAGAACTCTTTCAATTAGCGGTAGCTGAAGTTTGCAACTTTTCTCTGACTGAACAGTAGTTCTAATCGTACAGTTTATGCCAGTGGATCCTAGTAGCAGATACAGGAACAGAAAATGACATTTCCAGCCAAAAGTAGAAAAGACACTGCACTGTTTGTGAATTGCTGATTTGCCACCTCTGCTTAAACCTACGTGACCTACTTCCCCAGTTCCTACGCTGAGCGTTCTGGCCACTGCCATGAACTTGCCAGCAAAGTAGAATGCATCATCCATAAATAATAAAAAGTAATAAAGGATTCATAACCCAGATACATACTTTGAAACTCACTTCAGGCAAGCGCTCTGTAGAATCACATTTGTCATAAAGGGTATTGTAAATAGGACCACATTAATTTTGATGGGTGGCTGTGTCCGCAGCCACCTGACGGGATGCTGATCCACTCTCTTGCCCAGCGCGTAGCTGCGGAGCGTGGGAAGCTCTACTGGGCGCTCTCCTTCCGTGACTGCACACTGATCCGAGACACCTGTGCCTGCGCTGGCGAGGAACGACTGCTACTCCAAAAAGGCAACGAGGCATCATTTTAAGTCGGCCTTTGGGGAATTCATCTTCAGTCTATTCAGCTGGGGCTTCTGCGACCCAGTTCCACACACGCGGCAAAGAGGCACCGTCCTTTCCACAGCCCAGGCCTGCTCTCGTTCCCGGAGCAGCAAAACGGACATCCCTGTTTCCAGCAGACAACAGCTTCAAAAACAGCTGAAGTAAAAACAGAGGGCGCGTACTTCCACCGAGCTTGCTTACAGACGCGCCTACCACCTCGGCCGCAGCTCCGCCCGCTCCCCGCTGCCAGGGCGGTACGGCGGG